TTCCACGAGCGCGCGTGTGTAGTACGCGTCCCATGTTCCCAACGCCATCTATCCCATGTGCGACGCGGCCCCGTCTACTGATTCATTAAGCAGTGATCTGGAAAGCATGGCTGTCCAGCAGGCTGCTGGATGCAACATAACTGAAGCCCCCGAACATGTCATCCTTGCCATCCTTAGCAGAAAAGCTGCCCCAAGGGTCCTTAGCTGTTACGACTGGGCTGACGGCCAGTTCCGTGAATTCTTCACTAAAGTTCTCGGCAAGCTCGGGATCTGTAATAAGAGGCTGAATCGGAGGTTCCATCTCCCTGGCCGCGAGCTTCGTCCAATTGATGCTGCGGAAGAATCGGTGGTTTTTGAGGATCGTTAGATCCTTCGGCATGTTCGAGCCGAGGCGCTTGGCTGGATCCTTCCTCAAAAGCCGTGTCAAGAGGTCCTTCGCGTCGGGACCTAAGAAGTAAGGCATGACGAGCTTTTGCTTGACAATCTTCTCTTGAATCTTGGCATTGTTCCCCCCACGGAACGGCGGGTTGCCTGTCATGAGATCGTATCCAAGCGCGCCATAAGACCACCAGTCCACCGCCTTGCCGTACTTGCGCCCTTGAATAACTTCGGGGGCCATGTACTCGACCGTCCCAAGCATCGAGTTGCACTGGTCTTCCGAGTCGACAGCTACCTTGGACAGACCAAAATCTGTGAGGAGGAGATGGCCTTCGGCGTCAAGTAGGCAGTTCTCAGGCTTGAGATCGCGATACACTACTCCCAGGTTTGTGTGTAGGTGCGAGATTGCAAGCATCAGCTCGGCCATGTAGAACGCCGCAGCAGGCTCCGAAAACATCTTCTCCGTATTGAGGTGGGTAAAGAGCTCGCCACCCTGTCCGTACTCGAGGATCAGGTACAGCTTCTCGTGGTCCTGGAAGGCATAGTACAGGTTAACTACAAAAGGGTGTCGGTTAACGGATTCGAGGATTTGACGTTCCGTCTTGGTCTGTTCAATGAGCTTTTTGTGGACCCTGACAGATGCTTTTTTTAGCTGCTTTTGCGCATAAAGCCGTCCAGTCGTGCGCTGTTTCACCAAGAGAACCGTGCCGTACGTCCCTTTGCCAAGGCATCGAAGAGTCTCGAAATCGTCCGCAGCCATTTTACGCGGCGGCAGAGCGCCGTCATTGTTGACGGGAAAGATGCCTGTTCGCTCGCGGACGCTCTCGTCGACGAAGTCGTGTTCCAGGTTGACCTCGTAGCTCGTGGAGCCAGCATCGGAACGCTCGCTTCCTGTTTCGCTGCCGGTGCGCTCATGGCGGCACTTCCGGAAGCCTGCGCCATTCTTGCATGGCCATTTCCGCCCGGAGTCCCGTTGCAAGACGTTCTTGTTCAGGGTGCTTGTTCGCCGAAGAAGCATTCCAGGCTGAGGGTTTCCATTCTGCAGACGCAGCTTGGCAATGCCGGAAGACGCCAGGCGACGGGGGCGGCCGCAGACTGGGGCTGCAGTTGCGCTGACGACGTCATCGATACGCGGCGGGCGGTTGTGTCGTCGCGAGGACGCGGTGGGCGGTGTCAGGCAGGAGCCGTAGTCCGAGTCCTCGTCGCCAGAAGTGGCTGGGGTGTGTTGGAAGCCGCGCACCGTGCTGAGCGCAGGAGTCGCCTTCGCAATCATGGTGCCGACGGTGGTGGGCGTGTTGTAATACTGTTTGTAATTGTTTCTGTCTATCTTCGCCGCCGCTTTCTCAGGGCGGGCGTAAGATTCAAAGGGCAAGGGAGCAGCCGCGTCGGCGCTCGGGGTCGTCACGAGGATCGCTCTCAATATGTCGTTGTTGCTTGAGGTGGCTTGGGCAGCGCATTTGGTGCTGAAGAGAAGCGATTTCGAAGTCTGGTGTGCTATAATGCATTTGGGGTCGACGAGGAATGTTGACGGTTCGCGTTTCGTAGGAACGTATCAGGGGGAGTGGTTCACCGAAATGGTGTTGAGGGAGAGAGAGGGAACCAGGTGAAACCGGGCAGGCAGGGAGACGAGTATTTTAAAATCGACTTTTCCCATTCACATGCAGTGTCAGCACCAGTGCGGAATGGCAGGAGCCTCCTTGCCCAGTTTTAGCCTTCAAGCCAGAAAAAACCCTCGGGCGGGTGCGACGCGGGCCGCTATTGGGCAGGCGCAGCTGGGGGGTGTCACATTTGCCTTATTCCCCAGCGCAAGTGCCCCCAATGTCCCCAATGTGCCTGCCGCGCCTGACCAAATGGGGGTATTTGCGGGAACCTGCCGCAGTTCCTGCAACTGGAGACGGAAGGTGCCAAATCGGCAGGCATGGATCAGCGATATGCATCGAATGCAGGTCACAAGGTACAACACGGTTGTAGGGCAGGTAGTAGTCGTAATACAAATCATGGGAGTCGTAACAAGAAGGCTGGGGTTGTTCTTGTGCTTGTGCTCCCATTATGGCCAGTGTTCATGAGTGGAAATCATCATCATAGTTTGTACTTGAGACTGGCTTGGGCAGCAACTTTGTCGCAGGTTAGGTGCGCGCTGTCAGCAACCCAAACGAATCAGGATACAGGGTAGGCACATACTAGGGTGGGGAGACCAGAGAGTCCAGAACTCCAGTGCCTCAAATCGAGATGGAGGGGTATCGATGGATCTTTACAGTGGGGTCACCCGCTACAGACCGCCCTGTGGTACAGCTAGCACGGGGACGCCCTCGGGCAGCACCCCCCTGCCAGTGGGGTGGAAAAAGTCGCGACGGCGAATAGAATCCCCGTCACCGCGTATGCAGCTTGGAAATTCACAGGCACCAAGGATCGAAGCTGGTAGCTTGGTCAAAGCATGCGATCTTTCAACATCAGTGACCGAACTAAACGGAACCACGACCACAGCCTGCACGTCAAAGCCCTCTCTTGGCCATTCCATACCAATCAACCACTGTGCCCGCAACAAGTCGCCCAGCATGATGCACCCGTCGCGCCAGGCGTATGTGGAGGAGATGGACGAAGACCGGGGGATAGCTCTCGAGGATGTTCCCCTCGATCACGATTACGAGATCCCTTCCGCCTCCGCTGGTGTCGCGCCAGAAAAGGCGTCTGCCGTCATGGCTCAGTTTGAGCGCAAGCGATTGGCAGCCAGTATCGCTGTCCCGACCGACGATGGACGAGTACGCGCCAAATTGCGGGAGCTAGGAGAACCTGTCACCCTGTTTGGCGAAGGTCCCGCCGAACGGAGAGATCGATTGCGACAGCTTCTTGCTATTCAGAAGGAGCTTGCTGGCTTGGAGGACGGCGATGTCGCCATGGAGGATGCAGGCGACCAGGAAGACGAGGAGCAAGAAGAAGAGTTCTATTCGCGCGGTGGACCAGACCTATTGAAGGCTCGCGTCGACATTGCGAAATTTTCTCTCCCCCGTGCGAAACGACGCGCCAAATTTCAGAAGGCGGAGGCGACAATACCGCTCCGAACACACGTCAAGTTCCGCAAAGAGATCAAGGAGAAGCTCGATGCCTTTGAGCTTCAGGGAAGTCAGACAGCAGGCGACCGTCATGTGAGCATGACAAGGCTATCACCCAATGGCGAGATAGCGGCTGTTGGTAACTGGGGCGGAGCCGTGAAGCTTCTCGAGATCCCATCACTTACAGAGAAGATGAATTTGAGAGGACACACCAACAAGATCAGCGGTCTGTCCTGGTACCCTGGGTCTACGTTGCCGGAATGCAACGTCTCCCCAGACTCGGTCAATCTTGCTTCAGGCGGTGCTGAGGGTACTATCAACCTCTGGTCCCTCAACCAAGACACCCCTCTCTCCACTCTCCAAGGCCACAGCGCACGGGTGTGCCGTGTTGAATTTCACCCGTCTGGAAAGTATTTGGCATCTGCCTCCGAAGACACGACGTGGCGGCTTTGGGACATCGAGACCACGGCTGAGGTGTTACTGCAAGAAGGACATTCCCGAGGCGTCTACGCCGTGAGCTTCAACTCGGACGGATCACTGCTCGCTAGTGCTGGTCTTGACAGCATCGGCCGCATTTGGGATCTCCGGTCAGGCAGGACTGTGATGATTTTAGACGAACACATCAAGCCAATTCATGCTCTGGACTGGGGTGCCGACGGCCACAGAGTTCTTACGGGCTCAGCAGACGGTTGGATCAAGTGCTGGGATGTAAGAAAGGTCCAGAGGACCGGCGGCCTCGGTGCGCATACTAGTGCAGTGTCCGATCTGAGATGGTTCAAGGGGCTTGACGATCCTGTGGACGGTGCTCCGCCGGGAGTCGATGAGAAGGGTGCTCAGCTGCCGAAGAAGTCCGGGACCTTCTTGGTTTCCAGTGGCTTCGACGCAAAAGTCAAGGTTTTCTCTGCCGATAACTGGGGTCTCATTCAAACGTTGAGCGGTCATACGGGACCTGTAGCGAGTGTTGATGTGAGTAGAGATGGCAAGTGGATTGTCAGTGGAGGGCATGACCGGACTGTCAAGCTCTGGGGTCGTAACGATATGGAAGGTCTTTAAGGTCAGGGCGGACAAGGGCTCGAACGTTGGGAGCTACTGAGACCAGATTTGATACCCAATAGAAGCAACGTGGACATGGACACATTTTTGTATACGAGTGTCATGCTGCTCGGTGACGATGGGGTGGGTTGTGGGCAAGACCAATCCACATCTATCTCACGCATACAAGCGTCTGTCAAGTCCACGATCATGGAAATCGGTGCATGAAGTAAGAATTTCATTCGAACACATCGCATCATGTTAACCGACAGTATTTTTCGTACCACGGTGGGGACACACTTTCACTTTCATCGTCCACCGTTACCAGCACATTTCACATGCCACGCAAGAATCTGCGTGTGAGTATGTAGGTATGATTTCAGTCCACAGCACCTTGCCCCTGAACCACAACTGCAGTACCGCAGACCTCATGAGGCTTTCCTGAACATTGGATTGGTAGGATGGAAGCTTTCTGACCTCAAGCCATCAATATTAGTTTTAGCAGTGATCGAATCATCAAACTGCCGCATTAACACGAGGAAGCATACGGTACGTACAACCGCCACTACACTACCGAAGATCACGTGACGGACGGTGTTGGATGTTGCGATTAGATAACGCGCTTTTGACGACCGCATCGCTTTCACGTCCCTCCCCATTCAGATTTCCATATTGGCCAAAGGACATCAACCAGTGCGACAAAGAACCCGGCGATCCTAATGTAGAGGTTTCCAATCCCGACCATTCAAATCGCTTACCCGATTATCTGTCGTTAGCATTCTACTATGGCAAACATCGACCGTTATCGGCCTCCCCGGGAAGGCTACCAGCCTCCCGTGTCTGCCGCGGCCATAGCCCGGTCCGCCGTGTCGCGATCACCAGTCAAGCAGCGCGAGGTCCCCCCCGCGGCCCCGTCACCTCCTGCCCACTCGTCCCGGACATCGCCTCCTCGGCCGCATGTGCGACGAGATGCGCCGGCATCACAATCGTCGTCAAAGTCGGATGCACACATGACCGCCACGACGCCGAGGGGCCAGTGGTACTTCAGCCACGACGAGGTGCTGAGTTCCCCGACGATTCTCGATGGGATCTCGCCTGCAGAAGAGCGTTTACGCCGCGCCAAGGGCGTCAACTTTATCTACCAGGCTGGAGTCATGTTGGACTTGCCTCAGATCACACTGTGGGTGGCGGGCGTCTTCTTCCACCGGTTCTACATGCGCTACAGCATGGTGGAAGAGAAGGGCGGTATTCATCATTACGTGAGTTGCACCCTGATGAGGTCTCGGATCTCGTGTCGAACTAACGTTCTTTCCTCACAGAACATTGCGGCCACAGCGCTATTCCTTGCAAACAAGACGGAAGAAAATTGTCGGAAAACGAAAGAAATCATCATTACCGTCGCCAAGGTAGCGCAAAAGAACTCACAACTCATCATCGACGAGCAGAGCAAGGAGTACTGGCGATGGAGAGACAATATTCTTGCATATGAGGAGCTCATGCTCGAGCTCCTGACCTTCGACCTCATGGTCGAGAACCCCTACCATCGGCTGTTCGAGCTCCTCGGCCAGCTCGAGCTGGTCCACAACAAGCACCTGCGCCAGTCGGCCTGGGCCTTCTGCAACGACGTCTGCCTGACGACGATGCCCCTGCTGCTCGAGCCGCAGGATATAGCCGTGGCGGCCATCTTCTTCGCCAGCATCCACACTGACATCAAGATCCCAGACGTCAACGGCGAAGCGTGGTGGATCGCGCTCAAAGGCAACGAGTCGCGCTGCGCCCGCGCCATTGATATCGCGCAACAATTTTACACCGAGAACCCCCTGAAGAAACAGAACCCTTCGCTACCGTCGCCAGCTTTCGACATTGAGAGCACTCGCCGGCCCAGGGACCCGCTGCCAGGTGACAACATGTCTTCGACGGCCGGGACCCCGCGGGACGCGACGCTGAGCCCGAGGATGCGCGCGGCTAATGGCCGGGACGATGCGACAGCGACAGAGTCGGGGTCGCAGGGCACGCACACACTTGGCGCCAGTAAGTCGATCGGCAATGGCGTCGCGTCGCCCGCTAAGAGGAAGGAGCTCGATTCGGACGAGGGCGGGCCGGAGCAGAAGCGCGCCAGGCTATCGGATGAAGATGAAGGAGAGGTGTCGGAGGACTGAGATACGAATTATGTGGCCACTCCGCCTCGGGCTCGAAAGGCGTGGTCAGTCTCAAGACGCCCATTTTCACTTTGCCACGTCTCGACAGGGAAAGACAGTGTAACATACCGGCATGTGAAATTTCCCCCCCTCGGATCAGGAGGGAGCATGGGCAGGGACTACTTTGGACCCGGGCCGGATTACGATAGGAGCATGGCGTTTACAGGACAACGGATCATGGAGGGGCCAAGATTGGTGATGGGGGAAGGGAGTTTGATGTTGCGGGAACCTAGGTTCCGCCCCAAAACACCCTCCGAGACTGCTCTCGATACCAAGAACATAGCAAGCGCAAGCAGGATACCTTTTTATGGACCGGGCCGACACTTTATGGACCGGGTCGACGGTGTATGAGATTACGTGACCTGGTGACAGCGGCTGGCATTGGGTGTTTTCTTTCTTCATTCTACATAATGCAAACATCAGAGTCGTACAAGACCTTCTTGCAGGTGCGCAATTGCCCCGCATCCCCTTGACTACATGAGTGGCCTTTTGGTGTTTTTTTTGCCTGTCTTTATTGCAGACGGCACCTCACTGCTCCACCTTTTGGTAGACAATCCTCACAGGGAAGAAGTTCTGAATGGTAATCGCGTCCGCTGCTTCTTGTTAGTGATGACTTCCAGGCGCACCGTGGCAAGCATAGCTGGGAGAATACATACGATCCTTCCACTTGATCTCGAATCCCTCCGGATCCGCAGAGCTGGGAAACGCAACCCACGCAGACTCTTTGGCGCCCCTCCACGAGACCTGGCCCGATGACTCGTCGAGCGTGAACTCGTTGACCGAAAAGGTTGTGCCGGGCGTCACCTCGACGAGGTCGGGCTGCGTCGTCTTGAGGTCGTAGAGGCTGTTGGTGCCGGTGAGGACGAGGGCCTCGTGCACGATGCCGATGGGATACGTCGCGAGGGTCGTGGCCTCCTGGGGCCTGGTCGTCAGGTAGAATTCGAGGGCGGGGGCGTTGGGGAAGAGGCCGACTAGGTCGGTGGATTTGGAGAGGAGCTTGTTGTGGAGGTCTGGGACGGAGGGCCTTTTTTTCCCCAAGTGAAGGTGGTCAGAGACAGTGTTCTTAGAGGGAGGAGTAGAGTGTGCTCACGCATCAATCTTAAGGTTGTAGATGGTCAGGTCGGACTGTGTGCCGTAGCTTTCTGGCTCTTCTTGGGGGAGCGGGGAGGCTGTGGACAAGGCGGAGAGGAGGGCGAGGGGGATGGCTGACGTCCACTTCATTGCTGCGGTTTGTGTTGACGGGATGCTCGAGGGAGAGGGTCGAGGGGGGACGTGGGCGCGCAGTCGATAGGGATATGGCCGAGTATCGATATCAGGCAAGCGTGATGGCAGAGAGGCGTGTAGCACGGAGAGATGGAGGGACACGATATATGAGGGCAGAGGGCGTAGCTAGTCTGTTATGTCTCAAGATGTCTTGGATTCACAATTTGTGGCCTTGCGCTCGAAATCGAGCTTAACTCCCCCCCCTCCTTGTTTACGAACTGGAGTTGAACGGCACGGCCTGGGTGGGCATGACCGCGAGTGACGTTGAGTCTGACAGGCGCAGGATCTCGGCCCTCTCTTGTCCTACATCATGAGCCCGCTTTGGGCTGTCACTGGCAGCATCAAACAGCAGCAGGGGCCGCCTCGAGATGACTTGGGGTACGAGACCGGGGGGAACAGGATGGCGCCCCTGCGCTGCGCCTTGCCGGCATCTCGAGGACGCCTCGCCGGCATCTCGGGGAAAGTTGGGATGACGATCGTCGTCGGGACCACGTTTGCGGGTGTATCCTGGCGCATGGGCGGCGATCACTGTCTGGGCGCCAAAGTCTGATGACATTAAGTTTACCTCTAGATTACGCTATCCATGCGGCCATGGGCGGGTGAAGGATGCGGAAGGATGGCCTTGGAGCATGGCATGGGAAGACTTGTGGGTTGATGGGCAGACTCAAAGGATTCGGTACAGGAAGAATGAGACTGGAGGTCCGGTTCCTAAGGTGTTTGTTTGTCTGTTTGCTCAGCCAAGGATCGAAGGGCGAAGTCATGCCGATCCCCCACAAATGGGCGTCCTTTAGGGGCCTGCTGGTGCCCTTCAGAGGCCTTAGGGAGCCGTACCTTACGAGGCTTATGGGGGCTACAGGGACTAGGCATGCGCGTATGCGTCTGACAGGATGGATGGAGTCTGTGTCCCATTAATAGCCATGCATCCACCCACCTCTGTTCCCTGCACCATCCCCGGCTTGCTTCGTTCCCTCGCAGCATGTCCATCGTCATTTCAAGCAGGTGAATGCTCCTCTTGGGAAGACGTTGACAACTCTCACAATGATCAACGAGGATTAGTCATGGGGTGCTTTACTCGTTTTTGAAAGGATAATAAATCAACGGCTGGGCCGGCTTGTAACATATTGTAGGTAAACTCGGCGCCATCCGTCGCATGTCTCACCCCTTCAAATCTGCTGCTCCCTGGCAGGCCCTGCACGTTAGGGCGAAGATGCACGCACATTGAATGGGCACTGCCTTGCTATCCCTTGCCATGTCTGCTTTCCCTCTGGTCTCTTCATCTTGCCTCTGGTCAAACAGTCACTGCTGCATGACGTGACCCCGGATTGCCTTGACCCTGTGCTCTCTGCCCCTCGACTGTCAGCTGCAAGGTCTTGTCCTCCGGGGGACAGAGTTACACACACACACACACATCTCTCCCCGTGCGCCCGAGCCCATACGAAGCCCCAGCCTATGGTCATCGTCGAGAGTTTTCGTTTTGTCACGGGGGCTGGGGATAGACTTTCGTCAGGCCACCTCCACCTTCCAACGGTGCATACCCGGCCTGGCAGCCGATTCGTCAACGGCTCAACCGTCAAGACTGTCCACCGAATGGGAGGCCGATCGTGGGAAGAAAGACTCAGCCGTCTCGTAATAACGAAGCCATCAATATGCCTGCTCCTCAATATGGTGAGAAAGACATCTTAGATTGGTGGCTCGCCAGGTTCAGATCTGTTCGAGAAAGTCTTACCCTCCCCTCCTCCCCTCAGCCGCAGCTGTTCGTCCGCCGCCCCGACCGTGATGCCACAACCCAGGCGAGTTCGGGGATATGCTTGTCCATTGAGCTGCATGATGTTGCGATGGAAATTGCTGATTGCTCATCTTGGCTCGCTTCATTTGTTCGCGGGCGCTACATGGTGGTATCGTTAATCGTTCACTGGTTGTGTGGCTATCACCATAGGGCGGCCCATCAACAGGCAATGGCGATGCAGATATGCCTGAGACCACTGTTTCTCGCTTTCTCCCCTAGGAAAGGTATCCGGGGGAAGGGACGACGCGGCAGGGGCCCATAAAGTCGTCGAGTCCCCTCCTCTTGGTGTTTGGCTATTGTCAGGCAGCTAGCTGTATATATACACGAACCTGAATCTCACGATCACAATATTGTTGCCGCCTCTTAGACATCAGGTCCTCCTCTCAGCGCAACGCCACGTGAACGCACACACACACACACACACACTCACTCACTCACAACAAAGATGCGCCTGCTTGCTTTCCTCGGCCTTGCTGCCGGCCTGGTTACCGCGCTCCCGGCCACATGCAGCGAAGAGCTCCCAGCTGCCTCGAGCGACTGCCCAACCCTCTGCATCGACGGCATCAACGAGTGCAACGAGCCCTGGGGCGGGTGAGTACCTCTCACACCTCTCTTTTCCATTGTCCGTTTGCATCATCATGCCTCGCTGACACCTCCAATAGATGCTACAACGTCTGCAACCCGGAAGAAAGCCCAACCATGCCTCCCTGCTCCGAGCCCACGCCCACCTCGATGCCCATCTACCATGACACCCCCACCGCCACCGCGTCACAGAGCGACAACTGCAGCACCCGCTCCGTCTGTGCCGACTATGTGAACGAGTGCGGCATCTGGTACGGCGGGTAAGTTTTTGCCACGTCCGTCGGCGTGTATCGTGAGGCGGACATTGTGGCGACTGACCTTTTCTCCCAGGTGCTTTGCTGACTGCACCCCCTGGCCGACCTTCACCAAACCACCCTGCCCTTCGGGGACTGTGCCGCCGGTCGATCACGACGAAGGCGATCATGATGACGAGGACTGCGAGAGGACCATCTGCGTTGACAAGGTCAATGAGTGTGGGATCAAGTATGGTGGATGTTACAGAGACTGCGCGCCATATCCGACCCTCGAGCCGCCCGCATGCCCGTCCGAAGCGTATGGCAAGCAGTAGATGGTTTTGTTCGTGCCCAACGCGAGAGCTGTCATTTCATGGAGAGCTGTCGTTTCGCTGTAAGTATTGGGGGTTCGTTCGTATGTAAATCCAGGTCATGTGAGAACCCACAAGGTTCTGACTGGTCTCGGCGTGATGAATGATAAAAAACGAGTTGACAGTGCAAGTGAATCTCCCATTCTGAACCACATACGTCTCGCAATTCCTTTGCATATCTATCGAGCACGAAAAAAAAAGAGAGGAAGTAACACCAAGCTCGAGTTCCATCATCATCATCGTCGTCGCCCTACTTCGTCTCCAGATAGGCCTTCCACCCGATCGACTGCAGCTTCTCCGCCTTGGCCTCGACCTCATCGCTCATGCCCTTCATGTAATCCGCCATGGCCTGCCTGTACCCCTCATCGCTGGCGCCCAGGATCTTGACGGCCAGCAGCGCCGCGTTGGTCGAGTTGTTGATGCCGACCGTGGCGACGGGGCAGCCGCGCGGCATCTGCACGATGCTGAGCAGGCTGTCGTGGCCGTCGAGGTGCGTGGCCTTGATGGGCACGCCAATGACGGGCACCGTCGTTTCGGAGGCCAGCATGCCGGGCAGGTGGGCGGCGCCGCCAGCTGCGGCGATGAGGACGCGCACACCGCGGGCCGCCGCCGACTGGCCGAGCTCGACCATGCGGTGGGGCGTGCGGTGGGCCGACGTGATGGTGAAGTCGTAGGGGACGCCGAAGCGCTCGAGGACCTCGAACGCGGCCCTGAGGACGGGGAGGTCCGAGTCGGAGCCCATGGTCACGACGACGAGGGGGTTCGCGGGGTCGCGGGACGAGGTGGTAGCTGCGGCGGCGGCGGCGGCGTTCTGGGCGGGTGCCGCGTCGGAGGGACGCAGGGCGGCGGTGGCGGCGTCGATGCGGCCCTGGCGGATGCGGTCGACCTCCTTGATAAGCGGCGCGGCGAGCTGCTCAAGGTTCGTGCTCGGGGAGTAGGAGGTAGCCGTGATGTGGCCGATCTTGCGGCTGGGCTTGGAGGCCTTGCCGTACTGGTGAAGGAAGATGTCCATATCGTCGTCGTACAGGGACTCGGTGAGGTCGACGAGCGCATCATGTGAGTCCTCTTGCGCGCCGCCGAGAATGTTGAGCATGACGGCTCCGGCGACGCGGGGCTGGAGCTTGATGGAGCGAGGGATAATGTCGAGAATGGACGCCACCTGGGCCTTGTACTGCGACATGTACGGAACAGCCTCGATAGTGTAGTGGCCTGAGTTGTGAGGGCGGGGAGCAACCTCATTGACGGTAATGGTGCCTGCGGAGGAGTTAATCTTGAGTAAGGAAGCATCAGGTTCAGGGGTAAATCGCACCATCAGCGAGGAGGAACATCTCGACGGCAAAGACACCCCTGCCCTTCAGTGTCCTGATGACGTCGGAAGCCACCTGCCTGGCCTTCTCGGACACAGTCTCGAGGGTGTTGCGAGGAGGGTAGAAGACCTTGGTGCAGATGCTGTCCTCGTGGATGGTCTCGACGGCAGGGTACGCATGAACGTCCCTCAGCTGGCCGTCATCGTCCTCTGTCCTCACAACCATGACGGCCAGCTCCAGCTCGAAGGGGACCCACTTCTCGGCGTACAGAGGCAGCTGTCCCATGACCGTGACGGCCTCCTCGAAATCTTGGACTCCGCTGACCTTGAAGTTGCCGCGGCCATCGTAAGAACCCTTGCGGGCCTTGAGCATGAAGGGGAAGCCAAACCTCTCGTACGCCTGGCGAAGTGAGTCCGGCATGGAGGCGCCAGACTCAATGGCCATCTGGGGCGCGATAGGAATGCCAGCCTTGCCAAAGTGCTCCTTCTGCAGGTACTTGTCCTGGATGAGGCGAAGCGTCTCCCACGATGGGTGCACAGGGACCTTCTTCACGACGCCTGGCGCCACCGTGACACCCTTGGTAGCGATCTCCTCCAGCACATCGGTGTTGATGTGCTCAATTTCAACTGTCAGAACGTCGCATTTGACAGCCAGCTCCCTGATCTTCTCGGGGTCCTTGAACGAGCCCGTGACGTGCTTGGCGTTCTGATTTGCCTGCTTGGCTGGGCAGTTGGCTTCGTCGAGAATGGCGATCTCAATGCCAAGGGGGCCAGCCGCCTCGCAAAGCATACGGCCGAGCTGGCCTCCGCCCAGAAGGCCGATGACTGGTTTTCTTGCCATTGTAAGATTGGATCGCGGTGAATAGACTGGGATGTGCTATCGTGTAAGTGAGTCGAAGTTCGGCAAATGGAGAAAATTCGCTGCATCATCCGAATCGGCGCTCCCGTTGAACTTGATCCGGAAAGCGGTGGGGTCGCACCAGCCACCCCCACCATGGAGAGCCGCCACACTTGGAGACCCACATTCGGGGCCTTCGTAGCTTACATGCGACCCAACTCAGCTAGAGGTAGAAGCGACTACGCCCATTAAAAGTTTAGAGAACATGGCCCACGCCTACAAACCTCATAGTAGGCGCCGGTGTTCAGAGGTGTTTTACGAGCGATATAGTCACAAGGGGATGGCATACGAGTTATGAAATCTAGGAATTGGAGAAAGAAAGCCGAAGGCGAGGCAGCCGACCCACAACGCCAACCCTGTTCAAGGCCAGAATATGATTTCTTGACTTTGCTCCAAGGTATAGCAGACGATGAGCGCCCAAAAGTCGACACTGATATATCAATCTCAACTTTGAGAACCTGGATTCCAGCTCCCTAAAGCCATGGTTACATGTGTCAGGGATTTAAAGTGTTGTAGTGCTCGCTGCTATCCCAACAATCCGCCTAAACTACCTTCTAGAATAGAATTGCCATAGCGTTCAACCCTTTATAGCATTTGACTGAGATCGTAGCTCTCGGTCTTCCAGATATCTATAAGCGCTCAAGAACATGCCTCGGAGCCTGTGAGATAGCCGCCGCAGCAATCGGTGAATGGCGAATAGAGGGGCGGTCGCTTTCCAACCATATTGTTGACGTAACACTCCACAAAGGTCAGTCACGCTATGAAGTATTGTAAAAATGCAGACCGATCAATACATACCACGGTGCTTTCGCCTCTAGTGTAGTGTTGCATTTTGAGTTTATTGCAGCAACGAATAGTTTGTGCATCATTTCGACACGCGCAGTCCCAGGCCGCTTGAACGCTGTGAGGGTTGTTAGTAAGTATGTGCCAGCCACGGGCAAGGCCTGAAAACTGACGCGAGACTAAAATACGCGAGGGTGATGATGCTGAGCTTCATGATGGATATAGAACAGTGGATGAGATAGGTGGCTATAGCGACGGAAGAAGAATAGAGACAGGAAACTTGAAGCAGGACTCCCACGAATGCTTTGAGCTTTAAGTATTTCTCTTCCTTGGGCTCACATGTGTCTGAATGGTCAGCCGTCTGAGGATCCCTGGTACGAACACTTCTCAGTTGAATTTTGTCTTTGTCGGAGTCAGCCCCTTGGCTTCAGCCCTTGCGATGATTCTGATACGACTCAGTCAGGAGAAAATACGAACACTTCATGGAAGATTCCGCCCTCGGAAATGCAAAGATCTTGCCACTTCAGCTATGGATAACAGGGGTATGTGAAGAAGACTTTTCACTACGCCGCATCCGTTTATCCCAGTGGATAACGAGCTGAGTGAACGCATTACCGCCTTGAAGGCAGGCCAGACCCTTGGCCGACACATGGAGCACATGTCGCCTCTAATCGGATTGAGACGTGCTGACGTTTCGTCTTTGAGCGATGGCCAGAATTCTGCTCTGGACCGGTAACGATTATTCCTCGTTTCATTGGTTGTGCATGGTTGCGAACGCGAAAACGAACTTTGAGAATAGGGAAGCATGATATCGCCAACCGTCGTTGCTAGGTACTCGGTACGGTTGTCAAGGATGGGCTCTGTGTACGATGGTAAGGAGGCAGGGGTTCCCGAATTTCCGGGTATTAATTGCCGAGGGTACACACAGTCAAGGCAGGTAGTATTCCTTACATCGATGTAGACATCGTCGTCGGACTTACCCCATCGTTAGTGCCGTTGTTTGATCCATCAGGAACTGCGCGCTCCAGGCCTTGTTAGTCATGAGTGCACATCGGCCGGGGCCTGACTCGCTAGGAACCTGATGCTGCAGACTTACAGGCAAGGGAGCATGTAGAAAAGGATAGCCGTTTCATTCCTGTCCCCACTCCTAGAAATCTTCTTCGACCCTCCTAGTACCTTCGTGGAACACTCATCGAATATTGTATTCGCTACGCCGGACTTGAAGCAGACGGCATGGTACACTAGCTTCTTTAGAATTGCGCCTCTTCCGCTTACTTGGCTTCTCAATTTCGTTTGATTGATTGCTACCTAGTGTATCCAGTTGAGGGCAGGCGGGGTTTGGCCCGTGTGTGAGCCAATCTCAACCCATATCCTAGTAGATACACTTTGACATCACTCCCCGCTTAAGCATTAGACTTTTCAATCTGACCACCATGACCTGTGATAGCATGTAATAAGGTGGCCTCCTCGCCACGTTAATGATATGACTTTATCCTCCATATACTTGACTACTCACCTGTATCGCTCCAAAATATTGGAAACTTCACGACGGGCGGAAAGTCCTATCATTTCGAACTACCGCAATCGACTGGTGAACAATAACTAGATGATTGCTCATCCCGACATAGTCGTTCCACTTCCTTGCCCTTCAACTCAAGTCCTAGCTTAATCAGTTGGCCGCATCATCTACAAAATAATGGTCGACCTTGGTACTGTCTGAACCCATAACCTCCCTGGCTCTGTCACGGACGTAAAGCTTGGATTTTGAAAACGTCTTCTACTAGATCTCGTACGCAAGGTAAGCTGCCAGGGCAAGGTGATTAGCAAAGTGATGAGAATTTCTTAGGTGATACCGTAGTTAGACATTACGTGGATGATTGAAGAAAGTTTGAATTTTGACCCTCTGTAGCTAGGAGAGCTGCACATAGCCCTACGTATATGCCAACGAGATGCTGTTCGTCTAGCATAGCCCCATGAGCAGCTACCCATGAGTCTCCTGTTTCGACGCACTCCGCAGGTGCCCCTCCTGGGATTGGCCAGATGACCCAGTCGAGAAACTTTCTTGCGCAAATCACGAGTCAAACTGGTAGGATGTACAGACATAAGGCCTAAATCTCTATGAAAGCAGACCAATTGAATCTGTGCGTTGATGCAGTACACGTCATTTATGCAAATACGCATAGCTTTGGCATATGGCCTAATGGAAGCTGCCACTTCGCCTGTCAGGAGACCCTTGCGGGGCCACGGCACAGGGGGCTAGTCAGGGGCTAAGGATACGAGAGCGCATATATAAGGACTACGGAGGGCCCTCCAAGCTGCGTAACGCCAGTCTTCAGATGTGTGCCGACCCCATACCTTTTGATTATTGCCTGCGGACCACGTGTGGAGGGCCTCTTCACTATCCTTCACATCAAGCACTGACATCGTCCTTCTAGGGCAAGTCCTTGATAAGGTGGCGCATTCCATCTATATCCAATTAGAAGTGTGCCATAGCTACTAGTCATAGGAGCCATAATTGGCTGTTGAAATCTTGGACGAATCGTCATGACAGTACTAGGGATATCTCCTGAATCCTCTCGCTGTTTCCCATGTATTCCCGTTCGGCTCTGTAATGTCCAGCGACGAGCAAATGAAATGGATGCTTTATATACCATGGTGGTATTCCAGCATGTCCCGTGCCATGATGTTGTATCCGGTTGTCCTGGCAAGTTGGGCCATTTCGTGATACCAATACCACAAGTCCGCACTGTCAGCCCCTTCACGTTTCAAGACTTCCCCTGCCTGGTTGAGGGGCAACACCGCCGAGGCAGCACCAAACAGCTTGAACTCTGCTCTTGCAAGGAACTGAATGCTCCTTAGTATCAATATTGCCAGCTCTATGACTGCCTCTTTCGATAGCAGGGTCTCGAGGTCGGGGTCCACGTCTACTGCTAGGCAGGGGAAGATGCGTCTGATTTGTCGGATGTTTTGTGCGCAAACAATATGAAACGCCCAAATGTGGGTGAAATAGTTGGCAGCAGTGATGCTAGAAAACTGTAATGCTGTACGGTTGTCATAAGGAGGCTCCGTGGGAAAGTACTGGTACTGACCGCCGTCGCCCTGAGCTTCCCTCAAGCTGACCAACTGGCGGACCCAAGTCTCGAAATTGTGCAACGCATCTTCGGCAGCAAACTGAGCTTGTTCCAGAGGCATACTTTCAAGTTTCTCGACAATACCAACAGTCACCGGCATGTTTATCATTTCGCTGAATAGATTTTGAAGGGGTGCAGCCCCTGATTCACTGAATGGTGCGTGCAGCCATTGGGTTTCCGCAAGGAAGGACTTTTGTCGAGACATGAAAACGTGGATAAACTGGGACAGTTAGTATTGAACACTATAACGAAACATGATGAAGTCCTTGCCATTACTGGTCTGAAACCAACGAACAGCTGGTGACTAATGCCCGAGCTATAGAAATCGGGCTCATGGAGTTGTAATAAGTCGCCTATCCCTCTAGCGTGGATCGGAGCACTCGAGTTCGAGGTGGGTAGAACCATCTACGTTGCATATTAATATCATGGTTGAAGAGCATGCTCAGAGCTAGTCTTCCGTACCTCTGAAAGAAACAGACACATGGTGGCAGCAGCCAGCAAGTTCGAGTTGGATGCCATCATCTGCCCGAGACCAGATTGAATAGACGATAGGGCGATTGTCTGGGCTTCCAAAGCGTCTGACACTGGCGCTCTACCATTCTTTCCTCGTGAAACTATAGATACGGCCAAAGTCTTGATGGCTGGCGAGAGATAGAGCTCGGCTTGTCCATCCCTCGCCAGTTCGGGGAGGGCTTCGACCCATGCGCCGCATACTCGATGTGACGAGCTTTTCGAGGTGTAGGAAGCACACCCATTTTTTGGAAGATGTTCTATGGGGCTGAAATTCTGGATCACCAGCGAGATGATGTCAAGTAGCGGCCAAGTCAGAGGTGGATGTACCGTTTCGGATCGCTGTCGAGGGATCAACTCGGCAGCTCGGGATCCCTCCGCCTTTTCTTTCGTTCCGGGCTCTGCTTTCGGCGGCCGGGACGGCTGACGCTTGTTTTTGGGGTCGCCGGTGGGAGGGTTGCGGCGTCTCTTGGCACTGATAATTGGGGCTTGATGGTGAGTTGATACGGTTGGAGGTCGAAATATGAGATCATGCTGGTATCCCGCACATTCTCTGCCGCTCTTGGTACATTGCGTACAGGCAGGGGTTTTCCCGTCACACTTGGCAAAAGCACGTCAGCTTTGGACGCCTGGCCAGGCTAACATTGCTGTGAGGCTGCTGGTCGCCCCGTAGTCTGGATTCAATACTTACGGCTAACTTCCGCGCCCTGCAGGTGTGACAAGTCGTGATCTGTCGAATCTTCATGCTGTCGAACACTGGTCGATACGGTATGTCACCAAGTGAGAAGGCTCGGGTTTAAGTTCCATTTCTGTACAGCGAGGGAGGCGAGTCCCATTTGATGTCTGCTGGCTGGCGGTGTTCTTTTGTCAGACAGCCGTGGACGGGAGCTTGCAGGCACAGTAGTCTTCACGGATTAGTATTGAGAGTTACAGCTGGGCTCGCATGGCATTTGCTCCCCACACATAAAAGCGACCTTACTGAAAAAGGACACAAAACCCGCCAACCTCCGACTGATCACGGTGGAAGAGTACTTCGACAACTGGTCTTCGGCACAAAAGAGTAGGTTCTTATATAATCAAACCGTCATCCACTAGAGCGAGCTTACGCATTTAAGTTCGAGCTCGGCCATTGATATGAGGCAAGGTTACTCACCTTCAAATGGGTGAAAAGGGGGCGGAGAGGAGTAACATGAACATAGATACTTCTAGACAAGTGTCTCAGTGTGTTTTCCGCCTTCCCGGACACCTTAGCCAGGCAGGTGCCGAGTGGCACCTTAGGTAATCGGCCAACTAGTGCTGCCCACACTAACTCTGCCATGGCGGGGCACAATTGCCTTGCAGACTGATCTCATGTGAATCCCAAGAGCAGTCAATGCATCTCATGGCACTTTACCAACCGTCACTCCACGCTTACAATGCCGGCTTCCGAAGAGCCCGAGGCGACCTGCCCGAGTATACAGTATGCATGAAGCCCGTTATGAAATCGTCTCGAGGCGTGAGCGACAGGCTCACCATTCCTTCTTCTGCCCTTTAGCCCCCTCAAGATTTTTGATGCTGCGAAAAGTCAAGACCGATATCTAAATGTGTCGGCTCCCATGGTCAGATACAGCAAGGTACAGTCCTAGTATTCTTCTAAATTTTCATAGCACTCATGATTGCAGCTGGCTTTCAGAAGAACTGTTTTCGAATATGGCACCGATATCTGTTACACGCCGATGATTCTATCGAAAGAGTTTAACAGGAGCCAGTTTGCTCGAGATAGCGGTACTGCCACTTCTCACACTTGACCACCGATGCAGGCCTGTGGCTGACTTGTCAAGATCTCACCGTGTCGTCTCGCGGAGTTCAGCCGCCGACAGTATTGCAATGGGGTGCCAATAAACCAGAGGAGATCGCGCGCTCATCACTCCTGGCGGCGCCCTATGTCAACGGCTTCGACCTCAATTGCGGCTGCCCTCAGTCATGGGCCTGCGCCGAGACTCTGGGAGCCGCGCTCATGGAGAAGCGTGAACTGGTGAGGGATATGGTCATCGAGACTCGCCAAGCCTTAGAGAGGGACGGGTGGGGTGTGGGCAAGGAGAAAGACATCGAGAACCCCCAGGGACGCAGCGTGAGCGTCAAAATTCGAGTACACAAAGACCTGCGGTATGATGAACAACTTTGGCGGCAAAATTCTCAAGACCAAACGAAGACGGACTGACCGTAAATCGCAGAAAAACGATCGACTTTATCGAAACGGTCATAGGCGACCAGCACAACCGCCACGTCGACTGGCTCACTATCCATCCCCGAACCCGAAGCACGCCTTCTAGTACCCCCATTTTCGGCGACTCCCTCGCCATACTCATCGAGAAGTACGGCGCCCGGCTCCCCGTGCTCCTGTCCGGCGACGTCTTCTCCCTCTCCTCGCTTCCGCTGTCACCTCTCCTCGCCCCTCAGCCGACCATCGTAACGAATGGAGAGTCGGAGCCGGCTCTCCCCCGCTTCCGCCCAAGCACCACAAAGCTCGCAGGCCTCATGTCCGCCCGCGGTATCCTCGCCAACCCTGCGCTCTACGCCGGCCACGAGTCCTGCCCGTGGCAGGCCGTCGAGGCCTTCCTCCGACATCTCACGCGCGCTCCGCTGCATCTCAAGCTGGTGCTGCACCACCTGGGCGAGATGTGCGGGCCCGGCATGGGGCCTGATAAGAATGCCCTGTTGACCAAGGGGGAGCGGGCGCAACTGAACGCGATGACGAACATGTGCGACGTGATAGATTTCATGGACGAGGTCGTCGAGCGAAAGACGGGGCGCAAAGGAGGCGTTGACCGTCTGGGCGATATTGCGGACGGTGTAGACCGAATGAAACTTAGTTCTGCTTAAGAATCGTGACGCAGAGCCTATTGCATGTTGTTGTATGTGTTTACTCGGCGAGTAATGGACGGACGATCCGATGTTGACATGCCAAGAGTTCCACATGTTGCTGCCCCTGCGGGCTTGGACGTTTCCCCGGATTTCACGGTGTTGACATTCGGTCCGAAGTCATCACCGCTTGGACGGGATCCGCCCTCTCGCCCATTTTCAGCTGCCAAGATCGACTGTCAGTGTCTGGCACCGAGCCCCATCTGTGCCTCCCTCTTGGCATGCAGACACACACCTGACGCCTCACAACACGGGGGAAACCAAGGAGTCGCAGAATAATTAATGAAAACTTGTTGCAGCGTCTGAACTCCGTCCATGCCTGTTACAGTACATTACCCGGCGCGAACTCGCAGCGCCCTAGGTATCATCGTGTTCGCCTCAGCAGGTTGGGCAGCCGTTTCGCCTGCCATCTGAAGCACCACTCTTCCCCACCGCCTCGAACCCCTTCTCCTTCTTCCAATGTATCCCAAAGGACACGACAGGCTGTCACAGCGCTCCTATTCCTTCGTGCACAACCATAATGATAGGCGAAACACTTTAGAACGACATCTGCTTCTTGATCTCGGCAATGGCCAGACCGGGGTTGAGACCCTTGGGGCACGCCCTGGTGCAGTTGAGAATGGTGTGGCATCGGTACAGGCTCATGGAGTTGTCGAGGGCCATCTTGCGCTCGCCCTTCCTCTCGTCACGGGAGTCGGCCAACCAACGGTAGGACTGGAGCAGGATGGCGGGGCCGAGGTACTCCTCCGAGTTCCACCAGTACGAGGGGCACGACGTAGAGCAGCAGGCGCAGAGGATGCACTCGTAGAGGCCGTCGAGCTTCCGGCGGTCGGCCTTGGTCTGGCGGTACTCCTTGCCCTGAGGTGGGTGTTAGTCTGGAATGTCAGAAGCTTGGTGACGCGGGCAAGACACGTACATCAGGGGAAGGCGTATCCCTCTGGAGGTAGGGCTTGATGGACTTGTATTGCTTGTAGAACTGCGTCAGGTCGGGCACGAGATCCTTGACGACGTAAGTGTGAGGCAGGGGATAGATCTTCATCTCAGGCGTCTCGGTCGGGATGCGGCCTGTCACAGGGTTAGCGGCGAGTTTCTTCGGCACGTTGACGAGGCACCACCTCGGCATTCACATATCAGGGTACATACACAAGCAAGCCAGGGTGTTCTGGCCGTTGATGTTCATGGCGCAGCTACCGCAGATGCCCTCACGGCAACTCCGCCTGAAGGTCAGGGTAGGGTCAATCTCGTTCTTGATGCGGACCAGCGCGTCGAGGACCATGGGTCCGGTCTTGTTGAGGTCGAGGGTGTAGGTCTGCATGCGCGGCTTCTCGGTCGGCTGGTCGGGGTTCCAGCGGTAAATCTGGAACGACTTCATCTTGGGCTCAGGCGTCGTGGCAGGCTCGTTCACGGTGGCCATGGTGCGGGCAAAGAGCGCCGGGCGGAAGGCTGGCCTAACGGCTGAGCCGAGGACACGGGTCGAGGAAGAGCGGAGAGCGGCCATATTAGCGATTGATCGCGTGCGGCGAGAGGAACCGTGGAGAGATTGAGTGCGCGAACAGGTGCAAGAGGTGAGGAATCTTCTGGGGTGGAAGAGGTGCAGAGGGAGTAATGGCCTGGCGATGATTCCGCAAGAGAGTCCTCTTCAAGCTGTCCTGTGCGTGGAGGGTGGCGTTCGGAGCAAGTGCAGCCATCATAGGAAGATTTGGCTTCCCTTCGGTCCCTCGGTTATTCCAAGCACGAAGATGGGCCTGGCCAATCAGCTGGCATGCATTTTCAACCTTCTGGCTGCGCATTCATGGGACGAATCGGAAGGACGGGGCACTTTCGGCCTGCACGTGATGGAGCCTGGAGACCGACCGACCGGCAATACTTCGGACGGAGGCCAGGGGAGACGACCCGATGACATCAAATCGCGATTCTTTTCGGATGGGGAATATGGGGAATCCCCGGGTGCTAGCAGACCTGAGCTTTGGGTTTGGTTTTGGACCACCTTGCCGGATCGACGACCAGGTGAACCGAACCGTATCTACCCAACCATGGGCATAATCCCTCTTGCATAGCACTGCTCATTATCGACGTATGCGAGATGTGACGAGGATTCTACATCTTCCGACATCACGACATCCTTCGCGGCACTTTCAGAAAAATGGCTGCATCGCTAACAGCAGCTCGTCAACCCTTGACACTTTGCACAGCACGCCAGCCCGTTAACATTGGTAGGTCGCATGTGGCAACGTACCCTTGGTAAATTGCACCTGCTAACAGACTCTCCGCCCAGCCGTTGGCCTTGTATCGAAACGTCTTCCTCCAAGCAGCCGTCCGACCTCGTCCCACATCGGCCGACCCATAGCTGCCAGAGCAATGTCTTCAACACCGAGAGGGGGACCTTTCTCCTTCCACGTCGCAGCTTCTTTCATCGGAAAGGACCGCCGCTACGATCCCTCGACACACGTATTTCATTTCAACCCCTACAACCGTATCCAACAGACAAAGCACAACAAGCGCTCCCGCCCAGACAGCGGTCACGATGCCTTCTTCGTCAGCCGCGTCGGTGACACTGGCTCCGTCGCCCTCGGCGTTGCAGACGGCGTAGGCGGATGGGTCGACTCGGGCGTGGACCCAGCCGACTTTTCGCCCGGTCTCTGCGAGTACGTCGCCTCAGCAGCCTACGAATACGACCCTTCCGTCTCGTCCCCGGCCGACCCCTCGACGCCGCCCTCCGCTCGCTCCCTCCTTCAAGCAGGCTACCAATCCGTCTGCGAAGACCGCTCCATCCGCGCCGGCGGCAGCACCCGCCTGCGTCGCCGTCGCCGATCCGAGCGGCTCCATCGACATTGCGAACCTAGGCGACTCTGGCTTCGTACAACTGCGCCTCGGCGCCGTGCACGCCGCCTCGGAGCCCCAGACCCACGCCTTCAACACCCCCTTTCAGCTCTCCGTCGTACCTCCCTCTGTCGCCGCACGCATGGCAGCCTTCGGCGGCGCCCAACTCAGCGACTTCCCCCGCGACGCTGACGTGTCCCGCCACGGCCTCCGTCACGGCGACGTCCTCATCTTCGCCAGCGACGGCGTCTGGGATAACCTCTTCAACCAGGACATCCTGCGGGTCGCGAGCCGCGTCATGGCCGGCGCCGGCGCCTGGGTCACGGCTGCCGAGGGCGAAGCAGAGAACGGCGGCACCCGCGTCATCGACGACCTCGCCTCTCTGACCGAGCAGCAGCAGAAGACGACGTCCAAGTCGGCCGTCACCCTGCAGAGCGTCCTGGCCACCGAGCTCGTCGCCGCCGCCAAGGCCGCCAGCGTCAACAGGAAGCTGGACGGGCCGTTTGCCAAGGAGGTGCAAAAGTGGTACCCACACGAGAACTGGCGTGGTGGCAAGGTCGACGACATTGTCGTCGTCGTCGCCATCGTGTCAGACGACAGCAAGGCTGCGCCGCCCAAGAGCAAACTCTAATCGTCTTGAGCGGGGCTGAGTACGGAGAAACATTAGATCGGGCGAGAGGAGTGTCACGATCTACGTGTACGTGCCATATCGACATAGCACGGCGTTCAGAGAGTCCAGTGGCGGGCGGTGGCGTTGCGTTTTGTTTTCCAACCATGCATTCATCCATCGCTATATTGAGACAAAGAAAAGAAAGAGAGAGAGAGAGAGAGAGAGAGAGGCAGGACTGGAGACTCCGAAGCAAGAATTAGACGCGCGGACAAAAGCCACATGGCTGTAAAAATAGGACAGGATGTGTTGCAATCCAGCGATTTTAGAGTGTGAGAGAAGACGGCGGGCTGAGAGCTATACTAGGGGCTGAATACAGAGAGTCGGCTTATCATGCACACCACGTCGAAGCTTGTTTTTTACCCCCCTCGTTGGTCCGTTTGGTTTTTGGTAACATGTAGTCGCCCAGCTACCTAGACGGGGCCAGAATCAGCTTCTACAATTTTCTGCGCTTCCTCCCTACCTTGCCTTCCCCAGCAGGTGACTGGCCAGAACGAAAAAGCAAAATGCTTCCTGATTCGCGATGATCAGCCGCCCTCCTCCCCGAGACCTTGCACCTTGCATACACGTGCTGTCACCGACCGCAGGAACCAAAGGGATGGGAGGGCTCGTCAGCAGTAGCGCAAAGCTTGGCCGAAGACAATGCGCGGGGTCGCGGTTGCACACTGTCCAGTGCCCCCAAAAACATTGTCATAAATACATGGGTCTGAATGTGTTGTTGCACGACATGGGAGACAGCGGCCAAGCGCGCCATCTACGACCCATGCACGTCTGGCTGAACGACTGGGCCGCCTTTCCTGGCGTCGAGATGCAAGAGACGGTAGTATTGTTCACGGTTTACTTCTTCAATTGAACACAACCGAGATGAAACAGAAAGATGCAATTGTCTTGGACCTGTCGATCAAAGAACATGTGTGTACACGTCGAGCCGCCCTAAGACACAAAAACCGATGCAAGACAGTTCCACGCACATCAACGCAAGCCGCGTCGTATTTGACGATTTACCCTGTGCCCGAGACTCCAAGCCCCTCGACGCTTTCCCTTAAATAGTCGAGAGGTAATAATGATTAACCGCATGAAGGGTCATCATCCATTAATGAAGAGCAAGTAATGTGCACTCGGTGTGAACCGAGGCCGGGACGTAAGTACGCTTAGTGGAAGTACAGCATGGCCGCGAGGGTCATGATGAGGGCGACGGGGGAGCCGAGGCGACCGGCCTTGCTGTCGGGAACAGAGGCGGCAGTGCCGGTGGCGGACTCAGCCGCGGTGGTGGAGGCTAAGAAACACATCGTTAATGGCCTGTGCCACGGCGATGTTGGGAAAGGAAAAGACTTACTCCTGGTCCTGGTCACGACGGAGGAAGAGGCCTCGGTGGTGGCGGAGCTCTCGGCGGCGGAAGACGTCGCAGTCTCGCTCGCGCTGGCGGCAGAGGACTCGGCGGCGGTGCTGGTGGACTCGGCGACGGTGCTGGTGACGGTGACGGTAGCGGAAGCGCTGGTGGCGGTGCTGGCAGGGGCAGAGCTGGCGGAAGCAGTGCCAGAACCAACAAGGGGGAACTGAACGCTGTAGTTGGGCTCGGTGCCGTCGTTGATCTCGAAGGCGTACTGGCCGCTGACGAGGGTGGTGGGGACGGACCAGGTGAAGGATTCACCAGACTCGCCAGCTTGAGGGTAGGTTAGCATCTTCGTCATGTGTCGCCAGGGGGGAAGGCGGCCTACTGGTGATGGTCTCAACAGTGGTGAGATCGTCACTGGGGCCGGTCTTGAGGAGGATGGTAACGGGGCCCTCGGCGCCGGACCAGGTCAGGGTGAAGTCCTCGCCGGCACTGATGGCGGCAAAGTCGGCCTGAGTGTTGGTGAACTCAGCCTTGGCCTGGACGTAGGCAACAAGGGCGGCGAGGGTGACGGCAACGCTGTACTTCATTTTGACGGTTGGTGGTAGCTGTCCGGTGTGTTAGGCTTGGGTTTGAGAGAAACAGATGTGCGCTGTCGTGTAGTGGGTGAATGAGAGAAAGAGCTTTGAGCTCGGATGGAAAGAAACAGTGATTTGCTCCGAAGCCAAAGGTTGGGTGACCCAAGTCTATAGTCCAAGGAAGGCAGGAGAGCACAATAATGTTTTTTGTTGTTGTTGATGTCGAGGTAATGGAGGGAGGGGATAGGCTGTCGAGGCGAACGACCCTCGAGGGATAAAAGGAAAAGGGTTTGGCGGTCAAAAGCTTGGTGACAAAAGTCTAAATGTTTGGAGTCGACGATGCGAAACGACGGTGGTGAAGGAGACAGACGGGGTAGCGAAAGACTGGGGGGAACTGAAGATCTGAATAGAGGGAAAAGGAACAGGTTGGTGTCGTCGCGGCGCGATGCGGGTAGTAGCTCCTTTAAGGGGTGGGTGGGAAGGAGCAGCCGGCGCAACACACGCACGCACGCCTTCACACACACGCACACACACACTCACGCTTACACACACACACACACACACCCACAGAGTATGGGGCGCGGGATGGGGGATGGGGAATAGACAGACAAGCAGGCTGGCCAAGCGACGCTGCAAATGAGGTAGGCCGGCAGGGACCCCCGGCGCCATGCCTGCCAGGTTCGCGACACTTCTTCGTCGGTGGTTGAAGCCGTGGCCTGCCATGGCAACAAGGGGGAGGCCTGGTTCCAAGTGGATACCGACACCCTGCGCTAGTCCCCTTTCAACAAGGCGTTCGATGAAGGAATCAGACCGAGCATCCAACCAAGCTTTGGGCCAATGCGCAGCCAACTGGGTACACCAGGGCAGGCAGAGGAGCGCCGGGCAGCTCCGTTCTATCCAGCACGCGCTGGCTTTCCCGGGGTTGAGGCAGACGAGCCGGCCAGTAGTGGCAAAGATGGTCGTCATTAGCACCAGGATGGCGCCTACCGTACCTGAGCCTGCGCGCGGCCTGGGCCACTCTGGTCGAGCCCAAATGAGCCGAATGAGCCTGAATAGGTGAGAAAGCACGGCCAAAACGACGAAGCTTATTCTCCTGAGCACACACACACACCTGGCCGGTGCCCTGGACTGAAAGAACCTATGCACTACAACACCTTTTGCCACCCTCCCCCTCCCCCTTTCGTCGTCCCCAAGTGCAGGCAGAGAGCGTCAGCAATGGTTGGTTGCTCCTAGGCTCCCGCGGTGCACCCCACGAATCAACATCTGGCTGTGCCTCAATCCAATCCACTTGCCCACAGCAACATGCCCTCCATTCCATCTCGTGTTGTTCTGTGCATGGTGAGACTCTCCTCGCGACCTGGCACGAACGCACGCAGTCTACAGCGCCGTGGGAAACCCCAAGGCGAACCAACAATCAAGGACCAACCGACGACTAGAAGCTCTCCAGTCATACAAGGTACATGTAATGTACAGCTCTCCACTCCACCTTCTGTCACCTAGCCGAGCCTTGTCCACACACCCTGGCAGCTTGGACATGCCCATGCACAGCCAGCCATCACGCCTGCGGACTGCGCGGGAACGCGACCACCAACGACGTGAAAAGTGGGCGGCCAAAATCTGGGTCAAGCGAGGAGGATGCCCTTGCAGTCCATCCCCCCGCGCAGATCGATTCCATCCACCATCGAGGAACAAAAGTGACGACACACACGAAGCGTACCATCGGGAACGAGTGGCCGTCTCGAGAGACACGATTCCAGGACCCCAAGGCAAACAAACACTGAATCGTTCCAGTGCCCACCGCCGAGGACAGGTTTGCATGCTCCTCATCAAAGAGAGAGTGCTTCCAAGAGCCGGGCCGGTGCATACACTCCTGAAAGGACCTTTTTTTCCCTAAATAGGAATTCCT